TATGTAGCTGTATACAATCAGAGGGAAAACATTTAAACATCCCAGCATGGTATTTCCATTTAAATCTGATTACAGTGAAATAAAACTGTAGCCATTAAAGGTTTAGAAGAACTACAAATACAAGCCGTAAAAGAAGACAGATAGTAAATGAGGTAGTAAAACATTTCAGCAGGGCAAACAGTTTACAGCACTCATTCAAGTCATCCCGAAGCAGACTGTGCAATTCACTGCAGACCTTGCACCGTTCCCTGAGCTCCACTTAAACCTGCAATTAACCTTTCACGCCTAATGAAGCTGTTTTCCTGGAAAATTAAAATATATAGTGGTGCCTGCCTTTACACAGACTTGGGAGGAGAGCATTTCAAAATGAATGACTTTTCCGAGGCTTTGTTCAAATGTAAAATGGAAGCGCTATGTTTGTGTATAACGTTAAGAATGTTCTTTCCAAGGCAGTTTCACTTGATGTGCAGTATTTTATTACTGTACTTATTAATTGTTCTGCATAATTGTAAAAAAAAACACACACACATCAGTAATTTTATGATTAGATTGTTACTGCTGGAGTCTACTCATACCATTTCCCTTCCATTAGGAAAACCTGGAGTTTTACTAAAGACAACTTAATTCCTGATGTTTCTCTTTGGTGGCTTTCATCGCAAATTTGGTGGTTTAAAAAGATGTAGTTACCATTTGAATACTTAGCTATTAGTCGTTTATATTGCTTTCTTTCTTTGTAGGGCATGTCTGCACATGTTTATGGAGAAACGTAGTTCTTAATTATAGGAAAAAAATGTTGTTGTTGATTTACTCTGTGAGTCTGGGGAAAGGTCCGATTCGGGTATATCTTCTACTTATTTATCAAATGTCTACTCTTGACATCCAAACCAATAACTACTAATGCCCCGAGTCATTCAGAGCAACCACAGGTGTGGGTCCACAATAGCAAGGGCTAGTTTGAAACACTCCGAGGCCATGGCAAATGGACTAGGAAACAGAAGATGGTACTTTCTTTCTTAGGAGGTTTATAATCCATATTTAAATAATCTAAATGTCATAGTGTCTGGTGTTTAAGAACTACAAGTGCAAAAAGGTAAAGTTTATAATAAATATTTAAACTCCAGCATTTTTATTGAATCTATGGGCATATTTTGATGTAAATTCTGCTAGCCCGCGGTGTCTGTACATCATCTTGACATGGTAAATGAAATTCCTTTAGACCACCAGTCTAAAATAATGAATTGTTCCCCCAGTTAATTGTATTGCTTTGATAACAAGGAACTGTGCTAGGTCTAGAGAACACAATAAGTGGATTTCATCAGATGATTTGTGTGACGTTTTGAAAAATGATCTTCTGGAGTGACCTGATTTTAATGGAACGCAGACCGCAGACAGCCTGTGCCACTGCGTCGTATCTCACCGCAGGAAGCGCCTCCTCGGGCACCGGGAGTGTGAGGGCATCACCAGAAAACCTCTCCCTGGGTTAAACAAAATTCCCAGGGAAATCTAAACGGGAGAGAGTATCTGCCTCGAAGGAGAACATGGGTAACTTATTATTAAGTTGTTGTTTCATTGATGCTTGTTAACAACAACAATCCAGGAAAGATCTCAAGCTACCTTTATCTCTTTGTCGCCACTGTGAAAAGAAACCAAACCAACCAAATAACAAGCGAGGCTATTTATTCAGAACTCCCTATAGCAGGGGACTCATCCACCATTGCTCACTTGCGTTTTGGCAGACACTTAAAAATAGGCAAATGGGAACATTTTATAATGGAAAAATAGATGGCTTCAAGGACGCCCTCATTGGAAGCTATTGGCCCTAGAAAGCTGGAGGCAGGTTAACTGGAAACTGGTGTCCTATGTGATTGGTTAGGGGTGCATATTTGCCTTTTTCTGATTGGTCCTTATTTGGAAGCAGGGACCACAATTAGGGAAGTTGTCAGTTATTAATCAAGTTGGTAGGTGGGGCCATTGTTATAGGGGTAATTGTTTGACTTCCTAGATTGTTACTAGAGACAGTGGTCTGACTTGCCACAAACCTGGCATGGCAGGCTGGCTCCCTCACCTGGTAATTCTAGATATGGGGCTGGTTTCCTGAGCAAGTTGCTGCAGTTTGTGGGCCAGAGTTCTATTTTTATATTACTGTCTGGCCTTGGTCTATTTATATGTTCAGTCTCTCACCAGCATATACAGGTTACATAAGGGAGGAGGGGAGTCATATTGGGTTTTTGTTTTTTTTTTTTTTTGGTTTTGTTTTTGTTTTTTAAAGAACTACTGACAACTTTTTGTTTTTAAATCATGTAGGATGCTCTATAGGGGCGCCTAGATGGCTCAGTCGGTTAAGCATCAGATTTCTCAGGTCATGATCTCATAGGCCGTGGGTTTGAGCTCCGCATCAGGCTCCGTGCTGACAGCCTGGAGCCTGCTTCAGATTCTGCGTCTTCCTTTCCCTCTGATCCTCCTCCCAACTCTCTCTCTTTCTCTCCCGCTCTCTCTCAAAAATAAATAAACATTAAAAAATTCCCTACAATAAAGTATATTGAGGGGCAATGATAGAACTTTCTGTGTCTTCTTTTAAAGCATCTTCCACACACTAGACACTTCAGGAAGACTGGCACCTTGTTTCTCTTGTTCACTCTTGCATCCAGGGCCCCTTGTAGGTTGAAAGAGGATGTAGCAATTTCTGGGCGGTGGTGGCGGTTGTTGTTTTAGAGCTCCCATATATTAAAATACGAACAAATGCAAAATCAGTAATAGAAACTTATTTCCAGTAATTTAACACTTAAGGTACACGTATACACCTGCAGTTATTATGATTATTTTGCTGTTCATAATGCAATTACAATATTATAAAGAAGAATAAGTCATAGTGTGCCACAAGCTGTAGAGTCTGGTAAAGAACTCAAGTTTGCATCTAAATGAAAACAGCATTTGGCCCATGAGGAAGACAAGGGCTGGGCATGTGGCCCTCGGAGTGCCCTCTGTGCGTACATGTGGTGGACGCTCAAAGGTCACTGCCTGCGGGAATTCAAGGTTTCCTGCACATCGCCATTTATGCAGAATCTGTACATGTAGTTGAGTGTTTCATTCTCAGAGGAAAGAACAAAAATGCGTCAAATTAAAAATAAGCATGATATGCAATTTTATTTGTAAATTAAGGACTGAGACATGACTTATGATTTATTATTTCCAACCGAATGTGTTCCCACGCTTACAAATCAGTAGCAAACCCAGAATATTTGTGAGAGACACTTCTTTAATTAGGCTTTGGACTGCAAATACCCTGAAATACAAAGGTATAGTGACAGTTTCAGATTAGCCTAGAATTTCTTCTTTTGGCAACTCAAGCTGTTTACTTCTCTCCTGGCATTGGTATCTTCTGTAAGGAAACAACATTTGCAGCCATGTGTAAATGGGAAAGTATTGTTTCTCAGAGCTCTTTTGGACTGGGTCGTGCAGTAGTTTAATGAGCAACAGGATTTCATATTTAGATGCTGTGATCATTGAAATTAGTGTAAGTGGTCTCTGGCTACATTAAAGGAGACATATATTCTTTGTCATATTTGGCTGTCCCTGGATAAGATGCTGCCAGGAATTAAATAACAGAAGGTTGTGAATTATGACAGAAGTATGCAAGAGATCTGTAGAAACTTAAGGTCTGCCTGAACTGAACTTTCAGTTAGCACAACTGTGCTCTGTGATTATTAAAAAAAAAAAAAAAAAAGTGCTCAGCTTCCTCTCCTGAAGAAATAAAAAGGTAATTATTTCCTACAGCAGAATAAGTGGTTAGTGGTTAAAACGTCTTTGTTGGCCACTTCAGAAGTTCATATGTGTTCTTAAAAGGTCAAGAAAACAATTTTTATTTAAACTTTGAACCTTTGCACTTGCGTTATCTTTAAGCAATTTGAGTAATTATTTATTGTCCTAGAAGAGCAGGTTATTTAACAGCAAACCTGAAAAGGTAAATATCCAAGATTGTCAGCCTAGCCCGTGTAACTTTTTAATCCCTTCCCTCCCTGGCACCATTAATTTCTCCTTCTCCACAAATGCCTTCTCTTCTGTTTTCAAATGTACATAAAACTCCCTTTCCCTTTAAAAGATATATGCAGGGGCGCCTAGGTGGCTCAGTGAGTTGAGCATCCAACATTTGATTTTTGGCTCAGGTCATGATCTCACAGTTCATGAGATCGAGCCCCACATTGGGCTTCTTGCTAACCACATGGAGCCTGGTTGGGATTCTCTCTCCCTCTCTGTCTCTGCTCCTCCCCACTTGCTTGCATTCTCTCTCTCTATCTCTCTCTCTCTTTCTCAAAATAAATGAATAAGCATTTAAAAAATATATATGTACTCAGAGAATCCTATGCATTCACACAGATTTCATCTGACCTGTTGCTTCCCCTGTGTACCAGCTCCCTTACCTCTTTCCATTGCCAAATGGCTTGAGCATGAGACTTCCATGCACTGTCATGCTGCACTTAATTATCCAAAGTCAAAGTCAGTTAACTTTGTTAGATCCTTGTTCTTGGTCATGTGTGACATTCATGTGTCTAAGTTGAGGAACATTTTTTTAAAAAGTTTTTTTAATGCTTTATTTATTTCTGAGAGAGAGAGAGAGAGAGAGAGAGAGAGACAGCATGAGAAGGGGAGGGTCAGAGAGAGGGAGACACAGAATCGGAAGCAGGAGCCAGGCTCCGAGCTGGCTGTCAGCACAGAGCCTGACACAGGGCTCGAACCCACGAACTGTGAGATCGTGACCTGAGCTGAAGTCGGACGCTCAACCGACTGAGCCACCCAGACGCCCCAGCTGAGGAACATTTTAAGTGAAGGGCATGCTACATGATAACTTCCAATAAACAGCTAAATGTTTATTGACTGAATATAAATAATTGACTAAATACTGACTAAATATAAAACAATAAAAATAGAGTGCTAACACACCACAGTCACTATCCCAGAAAGGCCTAACCAAATATTTGAATGATTTTCTTCTTTTCTTCCAGGTCTTGCCATTGCCAGTGCCCTGATAGATATTTCACAACAGAAGCCTGCAGATAGTAAAGACAAGACTTCAGGAGTCCGAAATCGAAAACACCACCTCTCAACACGTCAAGGAACTTGTGTCTGAGAAACAGAAACTGCTCCTGGATATTCTGATATGTTTGATTTTGTACGTGACTTCCATTAAGGCTGGTCTGTGGCCTCAGTTTTTATGGAGGCAAACCTCTCTATGGCTCCAGAGCTCAAGTACGGTTCCCTCCAAATGGGCAATGACTCGAATGGCCAGAGAACGTTTGTGACTTTTATGAAAGTAACAGTACTGATGGTCATGGGCGATAAAGTCACTTTTTACAACTCTCTTAGGCTTATCATAGATAACATTTAAATACTCCAGAAAAAGATGTATATTGTTTCTTAATGCAGATGAAAAATATGTAATTCCTATAAACCAAACTGTTTATATCCCAAGACTTTAAAGAAAGACGTTTTATAATGCCTGACTGATGAGAATTGTACAGTTTTTGCCTCATAAGCAAACTCAAATCACTTGTATATGAACAGGAAATGAGCAAATCGCAATGGCTTTAAATGTTTTATCTCACTGTAAATGTAAAGACAAGATTTTGATTTAGCAGGATATAAGTAGTATATTTAAATATTCCACATGACCATATCATGTCCAAACTCAGTTTGAGAATGGGACAGCTTCCCAACTAACTGGAAGGCAGAACAAAATGAGACCATTTGGATGGATGGTAAATGCAACTTCACAGGAGGTTTTATTAGAATTCCGAGTGAAAAGGACATTCCTGTCATCCACGCCAACTGCCTCACTCATTATCAGAGCTGATAGTGCATGGAAAAGCCTGTCCAGCAATCAATTTTTCCCCTCCTGCCAAAAAAAAAAAACCCTCCAAAGCCAAACCTGAAGAGAGCTGAAATGGTTATTTTACAGTGTGCAAGTTTCAGCTCTGGTATGGTCATTTTTTTTTATTGCTTAGGAATCATTGGATCAGACCTCAATGATCCACCTGCAATTTTTGTAAGAATAGATCAGCTTTGGTTGGCCTTCCTCTCCTAGCTGCTAGATTTTATCTACCTTTTACAAATATTGTGAAAGTATGGTTGAGGTGACCCCTCCTGAGTTTTCCCACAATCCAGGGTCCTTCTGGCCAACCATTCACTTAGACAACAAGTAGAGAAAAACATTTGTTGGCAGGCATCTACAGTATTCTTATTTCTAACATGAACTCGTTGGTGTCAAGAGATAGTTTAAAAAATAAGTTCATCATTGCCCACAGTTAGCATATTCTGAATGATCCAAACATCTGAGTTATGGCAGAAAGGAAAAATGGTGTATGATAGCTTTCACATTGCAACGTTGGATTATTTGTGTCCTAATTTTGACAATGGTTCACCAGACTCAGTAGCATTAACAGATCTTGTTTGGAATTAACAGTTTCTTAACTGTAGTCAGGACGACTACAGGATATGTGTAAAAAGCAGTGACAGAGATACCCAAGGCTGCTTTATACAATATAGTTTTGTCCAGTGTGAAAGTCATTTTGACATAATTGATGTTTGGTTCTCTATATGTACTTTTCACGTTCTTTGGATTTCTGGAGGTAATGACACTTTACTGTTTACAGCTAATGCACAGTTACTTGCATGCTATGGTTGTGCAGTAGCGGAATATGACCCTATTGTGATATTCAGTGTTTATTTCATAATACCATTTATACATAGTCAGCTTAATTTGATGAGGATCGAATGTAATATATAACAGGAATGATCATACAATAGATAGTTGCATCGTATATAAGATTGCTAGGATGCATCTAACCATGACTCTCACTGTTTGGATAATTAGGCATTTATGAATTATAGTATATATTCCTTATGTTGGCATGATAATTTTGCTATTTTCTATGCATTAAAAATAAGACTAATTCTTAGAGTAATTTTATCTATAGCCTGTGGGTTTTTTGGGAGAGGGGGCGGCAGTGAAGCTGGTTGTTTTTGCCTCCCTGTAATATTTTATCTCTCAAAAAAAAAAAAAAAAGCAAGCAAGGTTTGTAAATGTCTCCTAGAAAAACGATCAAGTAATTTTATTAGCTTCTTTTTGGACCCTTTAAATGTTGCTTTGTCTCCTGGACAAATAAATTGATGAAACTGGTGACTACAAAAATATAATCATTTAAAAATAAAATGATTGCCCGATTTGTTTAATTCTCTAACTTTTGTCATGAGAGAAAGTTTATGTAACAAAAATACAGAAACTTACAGTGTTGTATGTAAAATCTCTTTCAGCTCTCCTTTTAGAGAGGCCAAGCAAACAGTGTTACAAAGAAAGAATTGCCAAGCTGTATCCACCTCCAATCCCACTGGGTTCCTAAAACTTGTAAATTTGAATTGTACAGAATTACAGGACATAATGCAATGTGAAGTTAAAGTCATACTATATATTTATGGGTCAAATATTGCTACCTTTGTGACTATGCAATATTTTCTCAACTTATCAAAGCTTTTTACTGGCAGAAAAATTCTTCACCGTCAGGTGAAGTGGACTGAAAAGACCTTAGGGATTGTCACTTTGAATTTGTGTCACAGTCCTTTTGTCCCCACATCCCAAACACTTTAAATTTAGATGCTCCCCCCTTTTTTGTTAACCTTTTAGAATCAATTCACAAGTATATCCAGATATCCTTCCAGAAGTGTACAATTAAATAACTGATTCTCTTCAAAATTTTATCTTAATGGAATTTCATACCTTTCCATTTAGAATAAGTTTGGAGAGTCCTTTAGATTTTGGAATTTCTTATTCTTCCAAGTAGGAAAAGTTTGTGTTAAACAGAAGAGCATTTTGAAAATTTACCGGGGGAAAATATGTGGACAACTAGAGAATTCTTGTTTAAAGATAATGCACATGCTTATAAACCAATATAATAAATTTTAAGAGGATTGGGATTTTCATAATTGCTTTTAAATGGAAATTTGTTTTAGTAAAATACACAAAGAAGGAAAGAGTATGCCACATACTCTTGGGTTGCGTTCAGTAGGAAAACTCCAAATAGGACATCTTTCAGTGTGGAATCAATACTTGCTGTACTCCCAAGATCTCACTTTTTGGGGGGGATTCTGTCATATAGAAGTGATTATATGGCTGCTGTCCTGCTGCAGAGTCATTTAGAGTATAGACTGGCAGACGGTACCACGAACAGATGCTGGCATCAGCTTTGAGCTGTGTGGTACTGGGCAATTTAAGCCTCAGACATCCCATCTGTGAGGGCATGTGGTGGGGCCCACCTTGCAGACCTGTTGTGAGCCCAGAAGGTAAAAAGCACCAAGCTCCCACAGCAGGTCTTCCGCACTGAGTAGCTGGGATGGACCATCATGGGGCCCCTAGGCCACTCTTTTACAACCAACTGTTTTATGAATCATCTATTAATTTTTCATACATCTTTTTACCATAGCTGAACATAAAGTAGGTTTTTGCAGGTGAAAGTCGCATAAAAATCTTGAGCGAGTTCCTATATTTCAAGGATCTAGAGATTTCCAAAAGAACTACTTTGATATTTGAGTCATTAGAGGCTTTGACTCTTCCAAAATACTTACAGCTTAATAGAGTATTTTTTAAATGACTATCTGATGACATTTAGATAGAAACATTCATTGTCAGTTTCACATTCAAATTAGGCAAGAAGAAACCAATCCTTGCATTTGGTTGGCGTACACGGCACATCTTTTTAATTCATTAAATATAAAACTATGATTTGAAGAGTGTTTTATATAAAAGGTCTGAAAAAATGAAAACGGATCAGATGAATTAATTCTCCCACACACACTTCAGAACAAATCAGCTTCCAAAGCCCATTCGTCATTTTACTAGCGTGACATTGGAACTCACTTGATCGTAACTACCTGGGTTCGTACAGATTCCTACTTTTGTCTCAAGAGGCTAAGATTCAGAAGGACTGGATTAGACTCTGGAGATTCATATACTTAATAAGCACCTCAGTGAGTCTTACCATTAGGCAAATTAGGAAAACATTGCACTGGGCCGAAGAGTTGCCTTTATCTACAGTTAAAAGAATTTCTTTAAATAACGAAGTTATCACTCTAATTCAAAATGCTTTCAATAATTTTCCAGGGAATACAAGCCATCTGGTTGGTGTTACAGCAGTGTTTTCAGTATAGTGTACATTTAACAGTGTAGTTTTATCAAATTTTTAAAATTAAGACTTATAACCATATCAGTATATATGTATACACATGTGCATGCCAATGTTAAAACAGATTGTGTAAAAGTTCAAACCTGCTTTCAAAAGTCAACATTTTATGCTACTATTAATGCTACTATTTATGCTATTATTAATAAAGAGTTTAATTACTGAAATAAAAACACTGGATCTTCCAACCCCCACTGCTAACTACAGTTTTGTTATTTTTATATTTTACCCTTCCAAAATCAGGAAAAAACTCTCAACACCTGAAAAAGCCCCTGTTTCATCTAAGACTTGGTTATCAGATTTGTGTTGTTGAATTCCACATTCTCTCTTTGCCCTCTTCTCCTGATTTTCATTGGCCTTTTCTACATTGTCTTTGAATGGCATGCTGAACACTTGGAATGTTCCTGAGCATGGAAGCAAAACCCCCAAGAGGCTGAGAGCGAGTGGCCAGAATTGCTGCTATGACTGTAGGCCTCTGCCCCAGCCTTGTGCTCTGTGTTTACAATAACTGTTTACTTACAATAACCATCTCAGTTCCAAAACCGGTATAACCGGGGCATAGCTGCGCAAGTTTTCTAAGAAATCTGCTTGTTCTTTGCCAGTCTTTGGGTTTCGTTCCCATGTTGCCATCTGGATCCTCACTTTATATTAGTGCCACTGCCATGCTGGGCCTCAGTCCGGAATTACTGAGAAGGCACTGCCAAGGGGGATCCAAGCATCTCTCCTCTCTGCAGCCCCCACAGTAGGACCAAGGGTATGGGAAATCTCTTGGGCTCAGGGTCTCGGGCCTCTCTTGTGCCCTAGGGGATGGAATGGTGGTGTCCTCACAGGCAGCCCTCCATCACACCTCCCAGGCGTCAGGCCAAGGAAGAGGGCTGAGATCGGGAGACCCACTCCATCCTGAGAAACATGCCCAACCTGGCTGGCGTCTCCCAGAAGCTTTAGTAAAAAGAGAGGTTTGATTTGGGCCCTGATGACGACATGCCCAAAGTAGGTCGATCTCGAATGGATCCTGGAGCTACAACAAAAAAGTAGCAGCTTCTCAGAACAGCTGAGGTTCGCACGGGCTCTTCTTCAGATTTTTGATGGTAAGTCAGTGGCTATCAGGAGACTTGAAGATTTCAGCTCAAAACTGACCTTTCTCTGCCCTGAAGAAGTTTCCTGGGAGAAGTCCCCTGTGAGTGGCTGAAATGAGGGGCGGGCACCCTTTCAGCAATAACCCCCAGCCATTTCTCCCCCTCCAAACTCAAATAGACTTCTCTACTTATTTGGCATTTTCTTGTCGGCCACAACCAAACCAGCCAAGTTTTTGTTGAGCTTGACTTTGTCCAGCCCCACCAATGAAAAGAGCAAGTATTATTATTTTGCTTGCCAGATATGAGGCCACGTTATAATTTTGGGTAAGCTTTTGTAAATTGCATTGAGACCCTTGCCCCCCACCCCCTGCCGCCTGCTTCCCAGGGCTCCCATCCTTCATCGAGGAAATAATTCTGTCCCATTTAGGATTAGTTGTAAAGAAGTCCTAACTGAACAAGAATCCAAACCTCTCAAAGATCACTGCAGAGACGCTGCCTTCTACTAACCATCAAAATGTTTCACCAGTCTTATTTTTGGAAGAAGTGAAATTTTCGCTCAGGCAAGATAGCTGTTTAAGCATAAGCTTCTTTAAACCGGCTCTGTGTATGGTCAAATAGGAGATCCTGCTTCCTGAAAATCCACCTAGAAAATAGCATTAGTGAGCAAATTCTTGTAACTGTTCTTTGTGCATCAATAGCCCCTGTTGCTGAGAGATATCTTAAATTTTGTGCTTTCCTGTTACGAGTTATCTTAGTCCCGTGTGGGGACACATTTGAGTTTTAATGTAAACTCAAATCACTACTTTTTTTTTTAATGCCTTGGGCCAGTTGTGTAAACCATTTCTGAGTAAACTGGGATAAAAATGCTCACCTACCTCAGCTAGATATTGTGATGGGTTTTTGTTGTTGAAATGGGAAATAGGTCAGAATTAAATGTGTTCAACTTTTACTATGACAAGGTTCAGGTTGAATTCAGTAAAGTCACAAGTAACGATGTTGCCTTGAAGTCTTTTTGGTAACATTAAAGTACATATATGTGCCAAAATTCCCAAATAATCAAATTGCAATAGAAACCAATGGTATGGTATGTGTTGCCTGGTGATTCACACTTGTGCTTCAGGATTTTTTTTTTTTACAATGTCTCCTATGTATTTCACATATTACCTTCCTCAACTTTAAATGGTAATTTCACAGTGAATACTAAGATTGTGTTAGATTTTCTTTCCCATCGTGACACATTTCCTGACCCTTCGCTGACTAGTCAGCTCTTTTTCCCCAGCAGTAAATGAACATCTCCTACCTCTATCAATGCTTTAAAAATAAATAAATAACCTAAGATAGGGCTTGCGCATCTTTGTTCCCTTGTGACGATACACGCTGACAGCCATTGTCTTTTCCTTCAGATCAGCTTGTTTGAAATACGATGGCACTTAAAAGGAAGGCCGGCTGGAAGGACACCAATAAAAATACCAGCTCAGCTTAAAACAATTTGATTTCAACCCAAAATGGATTACCTTGCAACACAAATAGATAATGGCAAACAGGATATTCTACTTGTCAAGACTATTCTCTGCTCCAGTCAGAACTCTAGGTCCATCTGAGGCTTGTTGTCTTGTGGAGGGGAAAGATTATGGTATCCCCAACATTTATGTGCAGACGAACTCTTTGGAAGAGAGAGCAAAATCTGAGTATGAGATGTCCACTCCTTGCTGATTTCTGAAGTGGCAGCTCCAATTTGACCTTCTTGTGCAAAAATT